ACCATCAGACAGAGGGATGACTTTTGGCTGTCCACCTTGTTGGACCCTCGCTACCGTTCAAAAATGGTGGCCTTTTTCACACCTGCTGAGAGGGAGGCCAAAATAACGTACTATAAAAACCACCTATGTAGTCAGTTGGTCTCTGCCTTTGTGCGCCAACGTCCATCCTCAGACACTGTGGGCCCTGTGCGCTCGCGTTCCGCTGCCATGGCAGCAGGGGAGGGGTGGGGTGGTAGGAGCAGTGGCAGCTCCACCAGCAGCGGCTGCCTCAGTCTGCAGTCGATGATGAGTAGCTTTCTTCACCAGCGCAGTGAGGAAACTACTAACCAACCAGCAGCAGCAGCAGCAGCATCAGTGGACCTGGAGCAGGACCTCAAACAACAGGCTTGGGCCTACTTGGACAGCACCCTGCCAACCGAGGTAGACAATCCCCTTGACTACTGGGCAACGAAACTTGACCTTTGGCCCCAACTAGCTGAATTTGCCCTTGAAAGGCTGTCATGCCCGGCCAGTAGCGTGGCATCGGAGCGCGTGTTTAGTGCGGCAGGAGGTATTGTAACTCCGCGGAGGACACGACTGTCCACCCAAAGTGTGGAGAGACTCACGTTTGTGAAAATGAATCAGGCGTGGATTAGTCTGGATTTCAAACCACCAGTTCCTGACACAACTGACTAAATCCGCCATGAATCATGCCTCAAACATGTGCCACTTTCAGGTCTCCTCACACACTGCTGGTGTGTTCCATTTTTTGTCATAGGGTGCTGGCAGATTACGGGCCTCCCATAGCTGCTGCCAGGCCCCTAATCTGCCATGGGCCCCTATACCGCCTCCTCATGCTGCTGCCAAGTCCAGAGTCTCTCATGGGTCCCTGTACGGCCTCCCATTGCTGCTGTCTCCATCGCCACACTCTGCCATGTGCCACTTTCAGGTCTCTCCTCACACTGCTGGTGTGTTGAATTTTTTGACATAGGGTGCTGGCAGATTACGGGCCTCCCATAGCTGCTGCCAGGCCCCTAATCTGCCATGGGCCCCTATACCGCCTCCTCATGCTGCTGCCAGGTCCAGAGTCTCTCATGGGTCCCTGTACGGCCTCCCATTGCTGCTGTCTCCATCGCCACACTCTGCCATGTGCCACTTTCAGGTCTCCTCACACTGCTGGTGTGTTGAATTTTTTGACATAGGGTGCTGGCAGATTACGGGCCTCCCATAGCTGCTGCCAGGCCCCTAATCTGCCATGGGCCCCTATACCGCCTCCTCATGCTGCTGCCAGGTCCAGAGTCTCATGGGTCCCTGTACGGCCTCCCATTGCTGCTGTCTCCATCGCCACACTCTGCCATGTGCCACTTTCAGGTCTCCTCACACACTGGGTGTGTTGAATTTTTTGACATAGGGTGCTGGCAGATTACGGGCCTCCCATAGCTGCTGCCAGCCCCTAATCTGCCATGGGCCCCTATATACCGCCTCCTCATGCTGCTGCCAGGTCCAGAGTCTCTCATGGGTCCCTGTACGGCCTCCCATTGCTGCTGTCTCCATCGCCACACTCTCTGCCATGTGCCACTTTCAGGTCTCCTCACACACTGCTGGTGTGTTGAATTTTTTGACATAGGGTGCTGGCAGATTACGGGCCTCCCATAGCTGCTGCCAGGCCCCTAATCTGCCATGGGCCCCTATATACCGCCTCCTCATGCTGCTGCCAGGTCCAGAGTCTCTCATGGGTCCCTGTACGGCCTCCCATTGCTGCTGTCTCCATCGCCACACTCTGCCATGTGCCACTTTCAGGTCTCCTCACACACTGCTGGTGTGTTGAATTTTTTGACATAGGGTGCTGGCAGATTACGCCTCCCATAGCTGCTGCCAGGCCCCTAATCTGCCATGGGCCCCTATATACCGCCTCCTCATGCTGCTGCCAGTCCAGAGTCTCTCATGGGTCCCTGTACGGCCTCCCATTGCTGCTGTCTCCATCGCCACACTCTGCCATGTGCCACTTTCAGGTCTCCTCACACTGCTGGTGTGTTGAATTTTTTGACATAGGGTGCTGGCAGATTACGGGCCTCCCATAGCTGCTGCCAGGCCCCTAATCTGCCATGGGCCCCTATACCGCCTCCTCATGCTGCTGCTGCCAGTCCAGAGTCTGTCTCATGGGTCCCAGCCTCCCATTGCTGCTGTCTCCATCGCCACACTCTGCCATGTGCCACTTTCAGGTCTCCTCACACTGCTGGTGTGTTGAATTTTTTGACATAGGGTGCTGGCAGATTACGGGCCTCCCATAGCTGCTGCCAGGCCCCTAATCTGCCATGGGCCCCTATATACCCGCCTCCTCATGCTGCTGCCAGGTCCAGAGTCTCTCATGGGTCCCCTGTACGGCCTCCCATTGCTGCTGTCTCCATCGCCACACTCTGCCATGTGCCACTTTCAGGTCTCCTCACACTGCTGGTGTGTTGAATTTTTTGACATAGGGTGCTGGCAGATTACGGGCCTCCCATAGCTGCTGCCAGGCCCCTAATCTGCCATGGGCCCCTATATACCGCCTCCTCATGCTGCTGCCAAGTCCAGAGTCTCTCATGGGTCCCTGTACGGCCTCCCATTGCTGCTGTCTCCATCGCCACACTCTGCCATGTGCCACTTTCAGGTCTCCTCACACACTGCTGGTGTGTTGAATTTTTTGACATAGGGTGCTGGCAGATTACGGGCCTCCCATAGCTGCTGCCAGGCCCCTAATCTGCCATGGGCCCCTATATACCGCCTCCTCATGCTGCTGCCAGTCCAGAGTCTCTCATGGGTCCCTGTACGGCCTCCCATTGCTGCTGTCTCCATCGCCACACTCTGCCATGTGCCACTTTCAGGTCTCCTCACACACTGCTGGTGTGTTGAATTTTTTGACATAGGGTGCTGGCAGATTACGGGCCTCCCATAGCTGCTGCCAGGCCCCTAATCTGCCATGGGCCCCTATACCGCCTCCTCATGCTGCCAGTCCAGAGTCTCTCATGGGTCCCTGCGGCCTCCCATTGCTGCTGTCTCCATCGCCACACTCTGCCATGTGCCACTTTCAGGTCTCCTCACACTGCTGGTGTGTTGAATTTTTTGACATAGGGTGCTGGCAGATTACGGGCCTCCTATAGCTGCTGCCAGGCCCCTAATCTGCCATGGGCCCCTATACCGCCTCCTCATGCTGCTGCCAGGTCCAGAGTCTCTCATGGGTCCCTGTACGGCCTCCCATTGCTGCTGTCTCCATCGCCACACTCTGCCATGTGCCACTTTCAGGTCTCCTCACACACTGCTGGTGTGTTGAATTTTTTGACATAGGGTGCTGGCAGATTACGGGCCTCCCATTGCTGCTGCCAGCCCGTAATCTGCCATGGGCCCCCGTACCGACTCCTCATGCTGTGACGTTGCAACAAGGTGGAATTCAACCCTACATATGTTAGACCGCCTTTACGAACAGCAAAAGGCCATCACAGATTTCCTGATGTTAAAAGCGGATAAAGGTACTCCCTGTGTAACTTAGATGTCAGCCATTGGCAGCTCATGCGTGACACCTGCGCTTGCTCAGGCCCTTTGAGGAGGCCACGCTATTCGTGAGTCGGCAGGACTATGGGATGAACGACGTCATTCCTCTGTTGCACGTCCTGGAACAAATGCTGTTAACAATGGCTGGTCAGGGTGCGGTAGACGTGGCGCACAGATCTCAACGCCACATGACCCCTGTGGGGGCAGGACAGGAAGAAGAGGAGGAGGTAGAGGAGGACATTGGTGCTCAGGAATTATTGAGTGAAATGGGTGGTTTTTCCACTCAGCGGACAGGAGTGGAGGAGCAGGAGCATCTGGTAGAGGAGGAGGAAGAGGAGACAGAGGACCCAGACGCACCGTGGCAGTATGCTGTGGAGATGGAGGCAGGGAGTCCCTCGCATTCCTTGGCACAAATGGCCCATAGCATGCTCGCTTGCTTGCGTAGCGACAGCCGAATAATAACCATCAGACAGAGGGATGACTTTTGGCTGTCCACCTTGTTGGACCCTCGCTACCGTTTCCAAAAATGGTGGCCTTTTTTCACACCTGCTGAGAGGGAGGCCAAAATAACGTACTATAAAAACCACCTATGTAGTCAGCTGGTCTCTGCCTGTCTGCGCCAACGTCCATCCTCAGACACTGTGGGCCCTGTGCGCTCGCGTTCCGCTGCCATGGCAGCAGGGGAGGGGTGGGGTGGTAGGAGCAGTGGCAGCTCCACCAGCAGCAGCTGCCTCAGTCTGCAGTCGATGATGAGTAGCTTTCTTCACCAGCGCAGTGAGGAAACTAATAACCAGCCGCAGCAGCAGCAGCAGCATGCATCAGGTGGACCTGGAGCAGGACCTCAAACAACAGGCTTAGGCCTACTTGGACAGCACCCTGCCAACCGAGGTAGACAATCCCCTTGACTACTGGGCAACGAAACTTGACCTTTGGCCCCAACTAGCTGAATTTGCCCTTGAAAGGCTGTCATGCCCGGCCAGTAGCGTGGCATCGGAGCGCGTGTTTAGTGCGGCAGGAGGTATTGCAACTCCGCGGAGGACACGGGCCTGTCCCACCCAGCTGTGCCAGAGAGACTCACGTTTGTGAAAATGAATCAGGCGTGGATTAGTCTGGATTTCAAACCACCAGTTCCTGACACAACTGACTAAATCCGCCATGAATCATGCGCCAAACATGTGCCACTTTCAGGTCTCCTCACACTGCTGGTGTGTTCAATTTTTTGACATAGGGTGCTGGCAGATTACGGGCCTCCCATAGCTGCTGCCAGGCCCCTAATCTGCCATGGGCCCCCTATACCGCCTCCTCATGCTGCTGCCAAGTCCAGAGTCTCTCATGGGTCCCTGTACGGCCTCCCATTGCTGCTGTCTCCATCGCCACACTCTGCCATGTGCCACTTTCAGGTCTCCTCACACTGCTGGTGTGTTGAATTTTTTGACATAGGGTGCTGGCAGATTACGGGCCTCCCATAGCTGCTGCCAGGCCCCTAATCTGCCATGGGCCCCTATACCGCCTCCTCATGCTGCTGCCAGGTCCAGAGTCTCTCATGGGTCCCTGTACGGCCTCCCATTGCTGCTGTCTCCATCGCCACACTCTGCCATGTGCCACTTTCAGGTCTCCTCACACACTGCTGGTGTGTTCCATTTTTTGTCATAGGGTGCTGGACAGATTACGGGCCTCCCATTGCTGCTGCCAGGCCTGTAATCTGCCATGGGCCCCCGTACCGCCTGGTCACGCTGCTGCTGGGTCCACAGTGTGACATGGGTCCCTGTACCGCCTCCCATTGCTCCCACACTCTGCCATGTGCCACTTTGAGGTCTCCTCACACTCCTGCTGTTTTCCATTTTGTCATAGGTTGCTGGCAGATTACAGGCCTCCCATAGGTGCTGCCAGGCCCCAAATCTGCCATGGGCCCCCGTACCGCCTCGTCACGCTGCTGCTGGGTCCACAGTGTGACATGGGTCCCTGTACCGCCTCCCATTGCTCCCACTCTGCCATGTGCCACTTTGAGGTCTCCTCACACTCCTGCTGGTTTCCATTTTGTCATAGGTTGCTGTATGGCCTCCCATTGCTGCTGCCTCCACCGCCACACTGTGGCTCCAAACACTGGTTTTGGCCCCGTGACTGGCCAAATGAGTGAAGTGTGCGGTGATTCTAAGATCTAGAAACACCCTTTTTTAAGTTAAATTCACAGCGAATATATTCGACTCGAATCGAATATTGTCCACGAATTCGCCGAATCAGTCGAATCGAATTTTTGAATACTTCGCTCATCTCTAGTGACAACACTCGCTTATTGCATTGTACATACTGTATGAAGAAGTAGTGTTGTCACCCTAGACTGCTCTCCTATTTTGGAATGCAAACACCCCCATTTCTCCTTATTGACATTACATAATGGGAGATGTCTTGTAGTTCAGAGAAGAAATACTTATAACATTTAACATTATTTGAGATTTCAGCTTAGTGCACAGACAGTATTTACTAAAACTGGAGCACTCAGAATTTGGTGCAGCTGTTAAACTTTGACAATAAAACCTGGAAGCTGATTGGTTTCTATGCAGAGCTGCACCAGATTTTCAACTCTCCAGTTTTAGTAAATTTCCCCCAATATTTGAAGCTGCATCAACAGGTGATGTTTTGTAGTTACAGAAAATGTACTTATCTTGAATAAAGAAAACTAAGCCGCCACCACATCGAGGGACATATGAGCTTCAATGTAAAACATTTTTTGTTCTTGGGTGAAGATATTCTTTAATTGACAGATGGACAAAATAACTGCCAAAATAACATGTACCTTATGGCTGCTGTGGTGCACACTTACCAGTTTCAGTGCTGGTTTTGAACATTTGAACTGGTGTAGAACTGTTCCCCGCGAGGTTGGAAGCTAGACAGGATAAGGTCATGCTGCTGATACTCTCATTGTTAACACTCTCATTTTGTCTCAAGTTCAGAGTACTTGTCACTTCATTGTCATTTATGACTTTAGTCACTGCACCTTTTACGTCATTTATACATCTGCAAAATGTGACATTGAAATGTAGGTGATAATAAATTCTCTGCTTACTTTTATTTAGGGGTGGACTGACAACTCATGGGGCCCCCGGGCAAACTCAAAAAAGTCTATGAAAAAGGTACCAGGGGCATCTAATGGGGCCCCCTACTGACCCCAGTGCCCGAGTTTCCAAATGGTCAGTCCGCCCCTGCTTTTATTTAAACTGAGCCTGTGTCCTGGCTATGTACAACCAAGTATTTACATATCCTTAACAAGTAGAAAATTAGCCTTAACGTGTACCTGTTCTCATACTAAGGACAATAAACTATTTAAATATTCTTAAAAAAACAATAAAAATAACATTAATCACTTCCAGTCCGGACACTTTTACCCCCTTCCTGCCGAGGCCAATTTTCAGCTTTCGGCGCTATCACACTTTGAATGACAATTGCGCGATCATGCAACACTGTACCCATATGAATTTTTTAGCATTTTTTTGAGACAGATAAAACTTTATTTTGGTGGTATTTATTCACCACTGGGATTTTTATTTGTTTGCTATATAAATGAAAAAGTCCAAAAATTTTGAAAAAAAGTGTTTTTTTTCTTATACAATTTTGCAAATAAATAATCTTTCTTCATAAATCTTGGTAAAAAATGTATTCAGCTATCTTTTTAGTAAAAACAAAATAACCCAAATTAGTTTATAACCAAAAATTATAATTTTTCAAAAAAAATGTTTTACATTTTTATTTTATTTTTTTTATATTATCTATGTTTTTGTTTTTTAACATACTGTCACCCTAGCAGTACAGTGTCACCATAGTGACACTGTACTACTTGTTTGGGGGGGTTGAAGATTTTGTTTTTACACTGATTGCTTTTGCACCCATAAAGGCTGTACAAGCAATCATTTCTCCTTCTCTCTGGCTGCATTCCTGCAGCCATTGAGAAATACTGTGTGAGTTGTGATTGGTCACAGCTTGTCACATGGTACAAGGCTGTTGTGAATAGCCTTGTACCATGTGACCTCAGTGATCATTCACAGATTTCACATGTAGTAAGCAATTATGTCAGAATTGACATCTTGCTTACTACTATTCATGTGATCACTGATTGGCCAATCAGTGATCACATGATCAGGACCTCACACAGAGGTCCCGTACGACAATCGGTGTTCCGCTGTGTCCTCCGGACAGGGAACGTGCACAAGCAGGAAAGTGCACAAGCAGGAAACGGCCCCCCGCCCCTGCACTGCTCCCGTCCCAGCCATTTATATACATGGGCCAGACAGGAAGTGGTTAAACAGGCACTTACTCACGTTTTAGCTGGGGTTTTTTTAAGTTACAGTATTAACTCTCAGGTATACAATTTTGTTTAAAGAAATAAAGGTGGTAGGGGGAGACTTGGAGTATGGGCCTAAAACAAGACATCAAGGAAGCCTTCTAATATATACACAGAGCTCCTAGGGAAACTCATTTTTTAGCTATATACCAGGTACTAACAAAGAGTTATTATCCTGTTAAGACTGTTAACAGTTTGTGAATCCTTTGCTGAATAAGATTGTATTATTAAATTATTCTGCATATCTGAGCCTAAACATACCCTTCAGAGTTTTTTTCACAGATCTCCCTAAATCACCTATTTAGGCACGCACAGCACCCATAAATTTCAAAAGGCTAAATTCTTACCTTGTACCTGAGCATAGGAACCACTGAATGTCTGGCAGTGGAAACCCCTTTGCATTGCAGATTGCACCGTGTGTCCTATTATATTCTGTTATAGATATTTCAACTTTAGGAGGCTCTGCAACATATATGTGAATACAGTTCGTCAGAGATTTCACGGATGGAAAACTATTCAGCTTATTTTCACAAGGCTATGTAAAAAGTAATAACGATTGGGAAAATCTAGTAACCCAGATCAATCAATTAAATTTCACATTACTGGAGTTAGATATACCATATGGCCAAAGGTATGGACTCTTGGCCATCACTCCCATGAGCTTGTTGGACGTTCCATTTCAAAATATAGCCCATCTGTATGTATTTGCACTTTACCCCCTATTCTCATTTTCTGTGTTAACAGCCTCCACTCTTTTTAAGAGGGCTCTCCAAGATCTTGGATTTTCTGATATGTGTCTTTATAGGTTTGGCTTTGTTTACAGAGCACAGTCGTTCTGGGACAGAAAATAAACTTTTCTAAATTGTTGTTGCAAGGTTGAAAATGCACAATTATTTTAAATTACTTTGTATGCTGTAGCATTAACTGTTCCCTTCACCGGAAACACCAGATCTCAATCATTTGGAGAGTTGTTCACAAAAGGTTGGCCACGAAGTGTAAATGAACCTTTTTTCTCTTTATAGCAAATATTTAAATTCTTGCATAAGTCCATTTATGGTTTTCAGTTACACATATATCTGCAAATGTTATTAGTTACCTTTCAGTTTTACTGGTCTTTTTTACAATTATCGCACTTTCAGTAGGACTGCAGGAGGAGTCATGCTACTCTTTTATCAACCCATCAGCTACAGAGCAACGTATTTCACAATGCTTGCTGGACTACTTACTGTACAGGGTTATTTTTGAAGGACAGGGAAGCTTTGGCCTGTGAATTGGCTGCATAAAAGGTATAGGTCCCTTCTTCATTTTCCTGCATTCGATTAAGAGTCAAAGTGCTTGTGCTCCTAAAAAAAGCCCATTAAAAAAATAAAACAAAGAATAAAATAAAAATTATATATATTATATACTGTATATAATCAGTTTACAGAATAAACATCAAACAGACTGAAAAATTAAATATTTATATAGAAAAGAGTTTACCATTTACCAAGGCTTTTTTTCTCAGAGAATATGTGCAGGAACCCACCCTAGTCAACTCCTCATCCCCACCCCCCATTCCCACTAGTCCTCAGGAAAGAAAAGAAAGTTTTACAAAGTAATGGGTGTGGTCAAGGCTCACCTTCTTTCCCCCCGCCCATTTCACAGCTCACCTCCCCCCATCCACAGCCCACCTTCTCTCCCCATCCACAGCTCACCCTCTTTCCCCCTGTGCAGAGCTCACCCCCTACCCCATCCTTAGGTCACCTTCTGCCCTATTGTTCACAGCTCACCCTCTTCCCCCTCCCCTCTCTCCATGGCTCACCTCCCACATCTACAGGTTATCTTCTCTTCTCCCATTCCACCCGCTCCCCTCTGTCCACAGCTCTCTCCCTCTCCCCCCCCATTCACTGGTTGCCTTCTCTTCTCTGACCCACTGTTCATCCTCCCCCCTAGTCCGCAGTTCACCCTCCCCCCCCCATCCACAGTTCACCCTCCCCAATCCACAGCTCACCCTCTCCACCCATCCACAGCTCACCCCCCCTCCCGATCCACAGCTCATCCTCTCCCCCTGCCTACAACTCACCCTCTCCCACTCTCCACAGGTCACCTTCTCCCTCCCTGTCCACAGCTCACCCCCCCATCCACAGCTAACCTTTCTCCCCCCCTCCCACCCTACATTCCACAATTCACCTTAGCATTCCCCCCCCCTATCCACTACTCCCCTTTTTTACCCTCAGTCAGCATGTCACCCTCCCATCCACAGCTCACACCTCCAGTCCACAATCACCTCTGCACCCTCATGCACGCTTATCTCTCCCCCTCCACATTGCACTTCTGCACCCCAATCCACAGCTCTCAACCTCTGCACTCCCATCCACACTTATCTCTCCCCCTTCACATTGCACTTCTGCACCCCAAGCCACAGCTCTCAACCTTGGCACCCCCATCCACACTTATCTCTCCCCCTCGACATTGTACTTCTGCACCCCAATCCACAGCTCTCAACCTCTGCACCCCCATCCACACATCTCTCCTCCTCCACATTGCACTTCTGCACCCCAAGCCATAGCTCTCAACCCCTGCAGCCCCCCCATCCACACTTATCTCTCCCCCTCGACATTGCACTTCTGCATCCCATCCACAGCTCTCAACCTCTTCACCTGCATCCACACTTATCTCTCCCCCTCGACATTGCACTTCTGCACCCCAATCCACAGCTCTCAACCTCTGCACCCCCATCCATACTTATCTTTCCCCCTGCACATTGCACT